CACAGTTAGAAGGCTATAGGCTTCCCAGAGCAACATTAACCTATTCTCAGATAGGCTGGAAATGACAGACCATCCCAGAAGTTTTTTTGCACACCTTTTAGAGTGTCCAAAAATGTTTTCTGAGCAGTCTTCAAAAACACATTTCTAAGTCGGTTGCTATTTGCAACAGAGATGATCAGGGGACTGGAGGCTAAAACATGTCTAGTCTAATGAAGAGAAGGACGAGGGGGGACATGATAGCAGCGTTCCAAAATCTCAGGGGTTGCCCCAAAGAAGAGGGAGTCAAGCTTTTCTCCAAAGCACCCGAAGGCAGAACAAGAAGCAACGGATGGAAACTAATCAAGGGGAGAAGCAACCTAGAACTAAGGAGAAACTTCCTGACAGAACAATTAACCAGTGGAACAACCTGCCTCCAGAAGCTCTGAATGCTCCAACACTGGAAGTTTTTAAGACGAGACTGGACAGCCATTTGTCTGAAATGGTACAGGGTTTCCTGCCTGAGCAGGGGGTTGGACTAGAGGACCTCCAAGGACCCTTCCAACATTATTATTATTATCTTAATCAATTGCAGTGTTGACACCCATTCGTATTTAAAAGATTTATTTGTCTTCATGGTATAGCAAGGAAGTCCTAGATCAAGCAGCTCATTGGGTCTTCAGGGTTGGACTTATGAGGATTAAATAAGTCTTCCAACATTTGAGGGGCTGCCACAAAGAAGAGGAGGTCACCCTATTTTCCAAAGCACCAGAAAGCAAGACAAGAAACAATGGAGAAAACTACAGTAACCAAGAAGAGAAGCAATCTAGAACTAAGGAGAAAGTTCCTAACAGCAAAAGCAATCAACCAATGGAATAACTTGCCTTCAGAAGTTGTGGGTGCTCCGTCACTGGAAGTTTCCTAGACAACCATTTGTCTGGTATGGTTGAGCAAGAGGTTAGACTAGAAGATCTCCAATGTCCCTTCCACTTCTGTTATTCTGTTAATAAAAAGAGCAAGTAACAAGGACTGCAACTGGGCTTCGTTTTCCCCCAAACATAATTTTTACGATCCTACAGTGAAGTTGTTCGAGCTACTTCTTGCCATCTTCTCTTCCACAGTCACCATCTGTTCATTTCTTTCTTCTAGAGGAACACTTGTGTCATTTGGCAGTGCTCATTACCCAATGCTCAGTAACGTGTTTTATGAAAATATTGAAATGGCATCTTAATACCAATGCCTCAAGGCACGGGTGCCATTCTTCCACCGAGAAATATCACTCGCCTCTAAGCGCAGCTACTGGAGCATCCAGCAAACAATCCCAGAAAGTCAGCCTCAACTCAAATTCCATGCCAAAAAAAATCAAAGGGCTCCCACCCTGATGAGGTTCCTCAACACACTGAAAATCTGCTTATTTCCCAGAATCCCCCTTTTCTGGACACCCCTCTCTTTGTTCTTTTATTTTATTGTTCTAGTTTTTTAACAGAATGTTAAACTGCCAAACTCGTTTGGGATTCAGTTGTATTTATATGGTGGAATTGGAAAGCCCAATATGCCTCTTGAGAGAACCCATCAGCCTGTGCCTTAAAGTGGCTGTGAAGTGCAAAAATGATACTGACACACCCCATATGAAACTGTAATATGATTTGCTCAGGTTTGGCTTAATCCAATTTATCAAATCAACGTGTAAGTCCCAAATTTTGTTTCTGGCTTAATGTAAGCAAGTGAATCCTGATAACTGTGAGTTTTTTTCAACAAACATGGCTTAGTGTCAGGAGTGACTCAGGTCTATCTTGTTACCTATTTCTTTCATTTAAAGTTATTACATAATTCCCACAGCACTGTCTTGTGCCTGAGGATATCTACCCATGTAGCACGACTGTGTTACTATTATCCTTCTCATCTCTCCTATTACCTAATCCTATGGCTATCTTGTGACTATCACCTGTTCTGTTGGTTGTATCTTATGAATTAGGGTTGTAATTTAGGATTTATCATTTTGTTGCTTGTGTATATGTTGAGAACCTATGCACCAGAGACAAATTCTTTGTGCACCCCATCACACTTGGCGAATAAAGAATATTCTGTTCGGCTCTGTTCTGTTCTATTTTCTATTCTGTTCTGTACTGTTCTATTCTGCTTGTTCTGTACTGTTTATTTTCTATTCTATTCTATTCTATTCTATTCTATTCTATTCTATTCTATTCTATTCTATTCTATTCTATTCCATTCCATATTCAAAGGGTCTCCAACCCCTGGTCTGTGGACCAGTATCAGACCACAGCATGCCAGCAACTGGTCTGCGCAAACAAGCAAAGCCCCATGGGATGCAGGCAGCACACAAAACCATGTGCTCTCCAGTCTGTGGAACCAGTCCCTGGTGCCCAAAAGGTTGGGGACCTCTGCCATATTATTCTATTCTATTCTATTCTATTCTATTCTATTCTATTCTATTCTATTCTATTCTATTCTATTCTATTCTCATGCAGGCTTACGTTACTCATAATGTGATTTCAGGGCATAGCTTCTCTGCAACCTCAGTGTCTATAATTTACAAACTCAGGCTCATAGCTTAGCACAATATATGAATGCTACCAATTGTGCTTTATACAATTAAATCTGGACAAACAAACCATTGACTGTTCACTGAGGAAATGCAGCCAATAAATTTTGCAACTTTCCTCTTTGCTGTGTCAGTTATCTCACTTTTTGCAAATCAACTGTTCTTCTGCTTCCTGGCCATGATTGCTAGGCGCACAAAGAAGCATTTAGAAGCATTAATGAAGTACCGCATCTCTGTTTAGAAGTATTTTTGCTAGCTTTTTCCCTGAGAATTCTATTTCTGGACAAATTGCTCTGTATAATTAGAACAACTGATTAGGATGAACACAAAGTGGACCCCCGTCTTTGAAAGAGTGTCAGCTATTTTAGAAATAAAGTATTTATTAGGCTCAATATAAAACTGGCATGGATCGTGGGAGGATATTAAATTTCAACTTGAGCTTTGCTCCTAATGACTACATAGCCATAGCCATGTTTCCTTGGTAAAAATTCAGAAATGGTTTTCCGTGGCCTCCTTCTAATATGCTCTTTCATCCTCTCAGACTTCCAAACTTTGAGATTGTTTGGTGCTCTCATTCTGGGAAAGGGAGCTGTGAGTTTCTTCCCTTAATTGGCTACAGGTCCTTAGAGAAGCAAAGTCTGTAGAAGCAGAATAAAATGGGAGGGGAAGAGGGAGAGAGAGCGAGAGAGGGACTAGAAGCAGGATGGATGGACAGATGGAGAGATGGAGAGATAAACAGATGCAGATAAAAACTGGATGATCAACTGAAAAAGCTAGATAGAAGCAAGGCTGTAGAAGCAAGATGGATGGATGGATGAACAGACAGGTGTAGATAGAAACTGGATGATCAACTAATAGATCTAGATAGAAGCAGGGCGGTAGAAGCAGGATGGATGGATGGATGGATGGATGGATGGATGGACGGATGGATGTTGAAATAGGATGATCGATTTATGGATCTAGATAGGATTGTAAAAGCAGCATGGATGGACAGACAGACAGATGCAGATAGAAACCCAATTTTAAGGTCTTATTCCCTCTGTGTTTCTAGTTCCAAGTCACCTTAATATTTTAAGTCCCTAAAGAGAAGGTGACAGGAATGACTGTGAAATGGTTATTTCCAGGAATGTAGTTTTGTTGTCACTGTGTAATTGTAACTGATAGTTTACAATATGTTAAAATTAAATTGTCACGGCTGTACTTGTCAAGAAGCTTACAGGAACGCTTTTTGTTTTCTTACTTATTATACTCCTCGTCTTTGTTGTTCCCTTGCATGAAACAGGGAAGTGAAATAGTTTTGTTATGTGGTATTTTAACTCTGCCTAGGAGAAATTCTGGGTCTTAAGTTAGACCTTCTAGAACCATAGGTTGGCTTAAACTTCAGGTAGCTCAGAGATTGGAGACTACATTGTTTCTGAATTCTTCCCACCATAGTTCAAAAAAACTTATTAGTTTGAAACAAGAAGGACTTATTTCTTACTTACTTCTCCACTGAGCCTCAAGCACCACCCACCTATAGCTTCTGAGGAAACTTGGTCCATTGGTTTCTGATGTAAGCCTGGGAAGTCAAGGTCACCAGATTCAAGTTGACTCTGAGGATCAACTATCAACTAGCTCATGTTCTCCTCATCCTCATGTTCAAGTTGACTCTGAGGATGGACTATCAACTATCTCATGTTGTCCTAGTGGAGAGCAGGATGAAACTGGTCCATCAGTCTTGGTTTCTGGTGTAAGCCCCTCAGTCATGGGGAGTCAAGGTCATCAGACTCAAGTTGACTCTGAGGACAGACTATCAACTATCTCATCTTCTCTTCTAGTGGAGAGCAGGATGAGACCAAGGGGGAGATCCCCCATACCAGAAGATTCAATGAAGTGGCTTTATTCTATCAGACATACACTTTCCATTTTAAAGCCTTCTTCTGATATAAAACGTCAGGTTCTACTCTTGCAATCTGTCCAGGGAGCTTTAGTAATTGTGAAATCACGTAAACAATCAGGAACTGATAAAATAAAGCCACGGGAAGGAATCGCCCAGCTGATCATTTGGAATGAAACAGAACCTGTAAAACTTAACATACCATTGCATTATTTCAAAGTAACAGATTCCCGTCACCCCATTAAATGATAGATGATTCTTTTTTGTATGCCAAGCCCAGGGCTTTTTTCCTCATAGAACGCCCAGAATGGAGATCTGGCATCTTTTTTGAATGGAACCTTGTAGGGTAGGAAGGCAGGTTGCATGACTTGTATGAGTTCCTGCACCTTTTTTTTTTTTTTTAGAAAAAAAAGCACTGGCCAAGCCTACACTACATTTTGTGTCATGGTTTGCGTAAAGGGAAGTAGAGATACTGCGGGGGGGGGGGGCAGAAGGAGAGAAACGGTTTGATGTTTCTGAGAAATCTGAGCCATAAAATGAATGCTGCCAACTCACACTAAATGGATGATTTTATTTTCCCAATAGGTAACTTGCCTTCATGATTTCTTTGGCGATGACGATGTATTTATCGCTTGCGGCCCGGAAAAATTCCGCTACGCCCAAGATGACTTTTCTCTGGATGAAAATGGTAAAAGCTCTTGCATAGTTGTTATTTTTTTAAAGGGGAAGGGTGTCTTCCTGCTCAGTTGGGGGTTACCTTGCATTTGTATTAGACATTTTACATTAAATAATATTGCCCAGAATCACAATAGCATTCAGGTTGCGTTTTATATATCTCATTAGAATCCCAACCTACCCAAATTGGAACCCAATTCAAAATCACATGAAGTATTAGTACTGCATTATAAAACCTTAGTAAGGCCACACCTGGAATACTGCATCCAGTTTTGGTCACCACACTACAAAAAAGAGGTTGAGACTTTGGAAAAAGTGCAGAGAAGAGCAGCTAGGATGATCAAAGGCCCAGAGACAAAAACCTATGTAGAACTGTTGCAGGAATTGGGTATGGATAGTCTAGAGAAAAGGAGGACTAGGGGTGACATGATAGCAGTATTCTAGTATTTGAGGGACTGCTAGAAAGAAGAGAGGGTCAACTTATTTTCCAAAGCACCTGAAGGCAAGTCAAGAAGCAATGGATGGAAACTAATCAAGGAGAGAAGCAATCTCGAATTAAGGAGAAACTTCCTAACAGTGAGAACAATTAATCAGTGGAATGGCTTTTCTCCAGAAGTTGTGGGTGCTCCATCCCTGGAGGTTTTCAAGAAGAGACTGGATGGCCATTTGTCCAGAATGGTACAGGGTCTCCTGCCTGAGCATGTGGTTGGACTAGAAGACCTCCAAGGTCCCTTCCAACTGTTATTCTGTTCTATAATTATCTGAATAAATTAACATAAATTACAATAAATCAGTCTGGGTGCTCCATCACTGGAGATTTTTAAGAAGAGACTGGACAGCCACCAGTCTGGAATGGTCTAGGGTCTCCTGCTTGAGCAGGGGGTTGGGCTAGAAGACCTCCAAGATCCCTTCCAACTCTATTCTGATTGAAATTCTTGATTCATTGTCCACTACAAGTCAAGGACACCTCTAGCATTCAAGAAGAAAAATATCCACAAAAGTGCACTTATTTATATTTTAAAATTTAATGTTCCTGAGGGTAACCATGGGTGATTCCCCACTGATCCCTCCCCCCCCATTAAAAGTGCATGAAGAAGAAACATTTTGTGTTTCACAAGAAGGCTGTAAATCTCATCAAAGTCTTTTTCGCTTCTGGCCACATTGTACCCCCCAAATCCCCTCTATAAATCTGCTTGGTTATTTTTCCTTTAGACAAAACCTGGCAGTTGTCCCTACTGCCTCCTCTGCTGAGAAACACTGATTGATTTGGAATCTATTAAAGATGTTTAATACTTTGTAAGAACTAAGCAAGATCGCTGTAGGTTACAAATTGCTTCTCCAACGATGACAGACACCCTTGCTTTTGTGGGAATTGTCACCGTTTGTAAGAAATTATCACTATCTGGATCTCCTTTGCTTGATGTTCCTCTCTTTTTATTAGCTTCCAAATGTTTTGGATCTTATTCCAAAAGGATGCTTTGGAAAGTTTGGGAGACTGAATGTCACATCTTTCTGTATCAGTTCCTATGCTTCATAGGAACTGAAGTTCCTCCACAGCTTCAATTCATTCATTCATTCATTCATTCATTCATTCATTCATTCATTCATTCACCTATCCATCTACCCATTTATCCATCCATCCATTCATCATCTATCCTTCCTTCCATCCATGCATCCTCATCCATCCATCCATCCATCCTTCCATCCATGCATCCTCCATCCATCCATCTATCCATCCATCCATCCATCCATCCATCCATCCATCCATCCATCTATCCATCCATCCTTCCATTAGATTAGATTGCAGCTAAAATTGATAATTCCTAATTAGATTGTTGACCCTTAGATACACACTTTAGAGTGTATAAAGTATTTTCCCAATTCAGGACCCTAAAGCTGGATCTTGAGGTGACATTTTAGAATGAGTAGAAACATAATACAATGCCTTATTTCAAACCCAGATGGATAATTTGGGAGGAATAGGAATCAGGAATAGGTATATTTAGCACAAAGTGAAATTATTCTGCCAGGCATCCATGTCCAATATTTAGATCAAGTGTTGTTTTCCATCAGTCATACTAAACTATGACGAGTTTCTGATTGGTTCCCATTTGTTGTTGTTGTTAATTGCGAAGTCGTGTCCGACCCATCGCGACCCCATGGACAACGTTCCTCCAGGTCTTCCTGTCCTCTACCATCTTCTGGAGTCCATTTAAGTTTACACCTGCTGCTTCAGTGACTCCATCCAGCCATCTCATTCTCTGTCGTCCCCTTCTTCTCTTGCCCTCCATCTTTCCCAGCATCAGGCTCTTCTCCAGTGAATCCTTCCTTCTCATTAGGTGGCCAAAGTACTTGAGTTTCAACTTCAGGATCTGGCTTTCTAAAGAGCAGTTGGGGTTGATCTCTGGTTCCCGTTAGGGAAGCCATTCAAAGCCGCTTCAGTACCAGATTGATCTGTCCGTTCAGTGAAGCTTCATCAAACTAATTTGATACCATGAAGTTTTGTAAAGGCTTTTCAAACTTCTTGGACATTCTGTAGTGCAGCTCTGGGATCAGAAAAGGAGTAGAGAATTTATGAGACATTGTCTCATGAGTTACTGCCTCATCACGTACATGTGGGAGGAACCAGGATGAAAAGCTGGTTCAAATCATAGTTCTCCAGCCTGGGTGTCCTCCACCTAGGTGGACTTCCAGAGTTTAAAGAAGGTAGCATGAACATTGCAGATAATTTGGGAAACCTGAATTCCATTCATCTGAAGGACATCAATATTCTAGGTTTTCAGCTTCTGAAAAGCATCACGTTTACCGGGATCTTGTACTCACAACATTCATGTTCTGGTTTTGTCTCTTTTACAGAGTGTCGAGTAATGAAAGGAAACCCACCCACTACACCAGGCAGCAAGTCATCTCCAACCCCACAAAAGAGCTCTGCGAAAAGTCCCGCTCCTTTGCGCCGGAGCAAATCACCAGCTGATTCAGGTAACCTTCAGGATGGTGAGTGATTGTTCTCTTCCAACAAATAAATGTTAGCGCCTCATGGATTTGGAGGATAAATTAATGTAACTCAGAAGCATATTCCTGTTTGATTGGACATTAGCCAATTCCAGTGTTATGGAAGAGTCCATGAAGGAAACTGGCTCATCTTGCTTATGATGATGTCCACCCTAATTCTAACCCATTCAAAGAAAAGAAAAACTTTTGGACAAGGGAAAAAGCTAGTAGTCAGTAAAACAGTAGCAGTAATTTATTGCCATTCGTTGTGTCATCTGAAGCATTCCAGAAGAAGTGAGATTTTATTGTTTTATTTTGTTTATATCCTGCCTTTTCCAAATAACTTAAGGTAATGAAGATATTTAGCATACCTTCCTCTTATCTTCTCCATCACAACAATCCTGTGAGGCCAGTTGGGCTGAGAGAGAGAGATTGGCCCAAATGCCTAAGGCAAGTCTATAATTCCCAGTCTCCTAGTGATTGGCCCCAAATCCCCTTAACTGGCTTTCATGGCTAAGGTAGGACTAGAACTCACAGCCTCCTGGTTTCTAGCTTGCTGCCTTAACCACTAAAGCAAACTGGTTATGTGGATGAAAACTTTGTTAAAATTGGAACCCAAGATTATCTTTTGTTTTTCCTAGCATTTCTCATTGGGTTTGATAAAAGATCATGTGGATTCAATGTTTCCCTCAAAGGAAAAGAGAGTTTCAGTTGAATTCTTATGGAGGGAGGCCAATTTCTTTGCACTAGTTTAGTTGCTTTGTTCTTCACAACAGCCCTGCACAAATGATGCTATCTTAGAAACTATTACGGTTTGAATAGGAAATCATAGTTGTTCTACAGTTTGATGAAATTCTTGGAGCTGGCTGAGATGTGAAATGGGCAGCTTTGATTCAAGAAGAGACATCAATTAATGTCAGGGCTGATTGGAAGCCCCTGCTGGATTTCTTTCTTTCTTTCTTTCTTTCTTTCTTTCTTTCTTTCTTTCTTTCTTTCTTTCTTTCTTTCTTTCTTTTTGTCGCATGAAACAGAAAAAGAAAATGGACTGGATGATAAGAAAAAAAGTAGATAACAGAAAACAATGGAAGTTGTGTTGTAAACATAGAGTGAAAGCTTAATGTGACTTTGTTCTGATATCTGTTGCAAAAAAAGTTGGGAGCCATCTTTTGTATTTCTTTTTGTTTTATTCGTTTATAGTTTATTTCATTTAATGGATTTTTACCTTACCTTTATTGCTTTACAAATAACTCAAGGCGGCATTCTTTCCGCTTTGCTTTCATTTTCATTCTTTTATTTTTCCCCCCTTCTATCTTAATTATTAGTTTTTGTTTGTTTTTATCTCTTTACTTTTTTAAAAAATAAAATCTAATTTTATTTTTAAAAAAGAAAGAAAGCATTCTTTAGAAGAGAAGGAAAGATTGCTACCTCCAAACAGTAATGGGAATCTTTCTTGCTCTCTCCCGTCCTGTGATTAGAAGGGATTGATTCATTCCCCCCCCCCATCTTTGATATATTTAGAGAAAATAGGGCAGGATAAAATGTTTAGCTCAGCTATAGTTTCTAATTAAGGAAGGACCGATCGATCTGCCGACAATAGGAAGCATTACTCAATCTCCTATAGGCAAAGAAGTGTTTTTTTTTTCTGATTGCCCTAGTATTTCTTTTCTAAATCCTTTGGCATTGTACCCATCAGGCAAGACCAAGTAGCTTAAGAGGTTGACACGAAGCAAGAAATTAACAACAATAATGCAGTGTTTGTGTTCACCACTGAGCTGGGCAAAAGAAAACGTAACAGACAAAAGCTTCCATCTCTCTGGGTTGTCACATCAATTGTTGGCAATCCCTCAGCGGAACTGACACAGCTGCAAAATAGCTTCAGTCTTCCTTTGCTGTCCTTGTAGGACTCCATTTAAAAAAAAAAAAAAAACCAAGGTAGGGGGTGGGGGTGGAGGATGATTAGGATCCTATGGAAGGAACTGAACACATGTTGTGGGGAGAGGTTTTACAGTGAGATGGGCAGGAAAGAATGTTTCTCGGTCAGGGTTGAAATGAGGGGTCCTTGGTGCTCTCTGAGCTTGGCTGTTTTCTTGCAGATGTTTCATTACCCAAATAGGTAACATCATCAGTGCTAGTGAGTGTGGGGAAAACAAAAAGGACAGAACACATCCTTTCCAGCAACCAACATCCAGATAAGCAGGGATTAACCCCAGACAAACAATCAAACAGAAAACAATGCCCCTCTGAAGGAGAAACTCTACCTTCTCAATATTGCAGGGCAAGCCTCTGTATATAAATAAGAGGCCAACCTCACGCTTATTAGCACTGATGATAGCAACAGCACTTAGACTTCTATACCGCTTCACAGTGCTTTACAGCCCTCTCTAAGCGGTTTACAGAGTCAGCATATTTGCCCCCAACAATCTGGGTCCTCATTTTACCGATCTCGGAAGGATGGAAGGCTGAGTCAACCTTGAGCCGGTGGGAATCAAACTGCTGGCAGTCAGTAGAATTAGCCTGCAATGCTGCATTCTAACCACTGTGCCACCACGACACTGAGGATGTCACCTAGTTGGGTAATGAAATGTCTGCAAGAAAATAACCAAGCTTAGAGAGCACCAAGGACTCCACACAGAGAGATCTGTACTTCCTGAATTTCCTGACTATCAGAGTTATTAAACGATGGAACAGCCTGCTTCCTCAAGTCCTTGTGGACTGTCTGTCCATGGAGGGTTTCAAGAAAAGACTGGGTAGCCATTTGTTCGGAATGGGGTGAAGGTTCCAGCAGTAGGGAGGGTTGGACTAGAACAGGGGTAGGCAACCTTGGCTCTTTTATGACTCATGGACTTCAATTCCCAGAATTCCTCAGCCAGCCATGCTGCAGCTGTCAAAAAAGCCAACACAGTCCTAGCCTGCATTAACAGAGAGTTAGAATCAAGATCACATGAAGTGTTAATACTACTTTATAATGCCATGGAATACTGCATCCAGTTTTGATAGCCGCAATGTAAAAAGATGTTGAGACTCTAGAAAGAGTGCAGAGAAGAGCAACAAAGATGATTAGGGGACTGGAGGTTAAAACATATAAAGAACGGTTACTGGAATTGAGTATGTTTAGTTTAATGAAGAGAAGGATGAGGGGGTGACATGATAGCAGTGTTCCAAGATGCCACAAGGAAGAGGGAGTCAAGCTATTCTCCAAAGCACCTGAAGACAGGACAAGAAGCAAAGGATGGAAACTAATCAAGAAGGGAGGAGCAACCTAGAACTAAGGAGAAATTTCCTGACAGCTAGAACAATTAATCAGTGGAAGTTGTGAATGCTCCAACACTGGAGGTTTTTAAGAAGAGACTGGACAGCCACTTGTCTGAAATGGTGTAGGGTCTCCTGCTTGACAGGGGGTTGGACTAGAAGACCTCCAAGATCCCTTCCAACTCTTATTCTTTTATTCTGTTATCACTGCGAATTCCAGAACCAGAGGCTCGATTGAGAAGTTAATAGAAGGAAAACCACAGAAGACAAGAATTAGCCATTGCAGTCAGTTGCCAAGAGAACATTATAATGCATTTGCAGAGATTAATGGCAAATAGAGCTTGTAGTTATCTGTGTTTGCTTTCCCTCCACCTTATTATAAATTGCAGTAATGGAGAATGATGAATATGCTAATTTCAGCAGTTGTTAGGCTGTGTCAGCCCTTTGAGATAACCCAGACACAAAGCATGAACCATGAGTCCTCGCACTACCTCTATTGTAAGGTTACAATAGCTGTCTAAAAGCACTTCTCCTTCCTTTACTTTTTACATTCTAGAAAACTAGGGATGGTCCATTTGGAGAGGCTTCCCCACATCCCTTCCTTCCATGGGCGGTGTCTCAAGGTCATTCCAACATACCGCTATAGGCTGTGTCTCAAGGTCATTCCCACATACCACTATAGGCTAGTACTCTGTACTCCCTGACTCCTGTTTTGAAAGAAAACATACACCCATACAAATGGAAATGAATTGATTATCTTTTTTTATTTTGCAAAAATGCCCCTTTCTTTAATGAATTTGGAACAAAATTCATCAGCAAATTTGTGACATCTGGGTTTCCTCGCACCAAGAAAGCACCAGGCTGTTGATTCTCATTCAATTAAAGTTCAGTTATTGGCACTGCTAGAACCAGTCCATCAAATACAATTGTCAAGCCTCACCATGAACCACAATAGGCCCAATTTTTTTTTAAAAGATAAATCTCTATTACAGGGAGACACGTAGGATTCCTGGCTACATTTGATGGGCTGTGCTGTTTTCATATAAATTACCATACAGTGTGCAGTTCTAGCTGAGAACCGAGTTTCTTTCTCTAAACTGCAGAGTGCCGAACAGTTTCCATGGAGAACAACAACAGCAGGCAGAATATGTGAGCCCTGGCATTTAAATTTATGTGCTTCTCTAACGGACTTCATGAAGCAATTAAGCCCTGCTAGGTTTATATCTGATGGATTTCTGCAAAGAAAAAGCAGGCGTAGTCTTCCTTCCATCCTTCATTTCAAGCTTTAATCAGACTTTAGGAAGCAAAATGGAATCCAGGAATTGGTTGATGATGGTTCACAGTCTTCTATTATAAGGCATCATAATAACCAAAAAATCGCAAGGGATTCAAAGACATCATCGCAAATAATGAGAGCATCTTAAAGCAGCTTATAAAAATAGTTACAGTTTGTGAAATAATTCGCATATTAGTTATTAAATTAATCAACCTTAACAATTAATAGTTTTAAATTTAGCCTACCCTGTGGCTGTGTTGAAAAGACAAAAATGGCAACTTTCTCTGTAGTTCTAGTGCTCTGTCTTTCTCTTTACAACTTAGTACACATTGCCCTTGACTTACAACCAGTGGTGGGATTCAAATAGGTGAACAACTGGTTCTCTGTGTAGATGCTGCTTCCAGAAGTCCATTCTGGCACTGGGCAACAAAAAATTAGCTACCGGTTCTGCCGAAGTGGTGCGAACTGGCTGAATCCTACCACAGGAAGGAAGGGAGGGAGGGAGGGAGGGAGAGAGGGAGGGAGGGAGGGAGGGAGGAAGGAAGGAAGGAAGGAAGGAAGGAAGGAAGGAAGGAAGGAAGGAAGGAAGGAAGGAAGGAGTGGTGGGATTCAAATATGTGAACAACTGGTTCTCGGTGTGGATGCCGCTTCCGGAAGTCTATTCTGGGCCTGGGCAACAAAAAAATAGCTCCCAATTCTGCCAAAGTGGTGCGAACCAGCTGAATCCCACCACTGGTTACAACCATTTATTTAGTCATCATTCAAAGTTACAATGGCACTAAAAAAAAGTGACTTGTGACACTTTCCAAACTGACGGCTGTTGCAGCATCCCCAGGGTCATGTGATCAAAATTCAGATGCTTGGCCACTGATTCCTATTTATGACGGTTGCAGTGTCCCGGGTTCACGCGATCACTTTTTGCGACCTTCTTACAAGCAAAGTCAAGAGAGATGCCAGGTTTGCTTAACAACCAAATGATGTCAACACTGCTAACATTGGAGGTTTTGCATTGACAACAGATGGAAATGTAGCCATCCTTTTTCCCTTTTGCTTTTAGAGTTAGATTATGCTGGGAGGAGGGGGGATGCGAATGAGAATCTAGCTAGACATGACAACACTAAACTTAGTGTGAGAATCAAGGCTATTGAGCCCAGAACTGATAAAGATTTGGCGGGTGGAGAACTGGAGAGGAAGCCCGCGGTTCAAGCTAATTGGGGGATGTGACTTATGACTGTTAATTGGAGGAGGGAATTGTGCTTTGATACTCTCTGCCCAGGGGAGGGGAATTCAGTTTTTGGCTTCAGTTATGTAGTGCTGATATTATACTACTAGAATAAAAGATTCTTTAAAGTAAACAATGCCTCAAAGTTCTTTTGAAGAGTTTCATCTGTCGGAACCATGACAAATGATTCATTTAAGAATTGCGGGGATTTGCTTAACAACTCAACACGAAAGGACATAAAATGGGGCAAAACACACTTAACAGCTGTCTTGCTTAGCAACAGAAATATTGGGGTCAATTGTGGTCATAAGTCAAGGACTATCTGTATTTGGAACTATTCACCTGGCCTCTTCCTTCCTCCTCTATCTTTTTCCTACTGCTTTTCTGGCTAATTGGCAAATTCAGAGGGGTCAATATAGCAATTCAGATGTTTATGCAACACCTTTGCTCTGCATAGCAGAGAAACCATATGCAGGATCGCTGTCTCCGTGGCCTCTAATACGTCTTTGCTCATCTGTCTCCAAACTAAATAAAATAAGCAAAACCCTAGTTATGAAGCCAGAAAAGTGAGAACATCCAAAACAACCAAATCATTGTTTCCCAGCTATAGATTTCACAAACTAGAATGTAATCTGAGTTTTTCTTTTAAATGTTGATCTTCATTCATGAGTGATTTTTCTTTTGTTCCCTGACAGCAAATGGAACATCAAGTAGCCAGCTTTCTACACCGAAATCAAAGCAATCCCCAATCTCTACACCTACTAGTCCAGGAAGCCTCCGTAAGCACAAGGTATTACGTTTCTTATACCTTACTAAACCTCCTTCCAGCAGGTTATACTGTGTTGAGAGTTACTTGAAGGTAACAGACTTGAGATCACATGTGGACTACTGCATCCAGTTTTGGTCAGCACGATGTAAAAAAGATATTGAGATTCTAGAAAGAGTGCAGAGAAGAGCAACAAAGATGATTAGGGGACTGGAGACTAAAACATATAAAGAATGGTTGCTGGAATTGGGGATGTCTAGTTTAATGAAGAGAAGGATGAGGGGGGACATGATAGCAGTGTTCCAATATCTCAGGGGCTGCCACAATGAAGAGGGAGTCAAGCTATTCTCCAAAGCGTCTAAAGGCAGGACAAGAAGCAATGGATGGAAACTGATCAAGGAGAGAAGCAACCTAGAACTAAGGAGAAACTTCCTGACAGAGAGAACAATTGACCGGTGAAACAATTTGCCCCGGAAGTTGATAGTGCTCTATCATAGAGATTTTGAAGAAGAGAGTGGAAAAAGGCATTTGTCAAGAATGATATAGAATCTCCTGCTTGAGGAGAGGGTTGGACTAGAAGACCTCCAAGGGCCCCTCCAGCCCTGTTATTCTATGTTCTATGAAACTGTGTTGAGCTGATCTCTGTGAGGGTAGGACCCTTCTACCCCAAGCAGGACTCCAGATCACTTAGCTGTGCCAGTTTTTTTGCTTATTTTTTTTAACATGATTTTCCCCACTTTTCCCCAAGAACTCAAGACAGAGGGCATTGCATGCCTTCTTCCTATTTTTCACCAAATATAGGGGGTAGAATGGGCTGAGAGAGAAAGTCTGGTTCAAGGTCACTCAAATGAGCACGCCCAGTTTTTCAGGAGCTTTGCCCCCAGCAAGACCCCAAAGAATGGGAGATACTATAGGAAAAAGCCCTAAGCCAGTGGCTGGGTGTGCTTTTAAAATAACATCCAAGCTAATGTTACTTCTGTAAGCTGTAAAGTCCATTTTGTCGCTGCTGTGGTGATAGTTTTCTGGGTCAGAACTGGTAGTAACAGTTGTTTCGGCTTTCTTGTTAACGTCCTCTAAATTTCCATGTCCTCTCTCTCTCTACACACACAGGCCCACATGGGAGGGCACAGCCTGACAGTGAGAACAATTAATCAGCAGAAGGGCTTGCCTTCAGAATGTCTATGGAGATTCTCAATCATCCAGGTCATAGTTGTGCCAAAGGTGCTTCTCAAAAGACAACTGGACTTTCTTGTTGTTGTTTTTTTTCCTTGAAAATGTTTCACTTCTCATCCCAGAACTCATCAGAACTGATAAAACTTCTTGGATGAGAAGCGAAACGTTTCAAGGAAAAAAAAAACAAGGCCGTCCAGTTGCCTTTTGAAAAGCACCTTTGGGATTTGCCTTCAGAAGTTGTGGATGCTCCATCATTGGAGTTTTTCAGAAGAAATTGGACAACCATTTGTCTGAAACTGTATAGGTCTACCTGCTTGAGCATGGGGTTGGATTAGAATAGTGGTTCTCCACCTGTGAGTCGGGTCCCCATTTGGGGTCGAACGACCATTTCACAGGGGTCACCAAATAATGCAGTCCGCCATTTTTTCCCCCTTTTCCTTAGCTGTGCTACTCCCTTTTATTCTATTGGCTTTTGAAAGCCAATAGAAGAGACTCTCTTGAATAGAGTCTAATTCTATTGGCTTTCAAAAGTCAATAGGAATTGTCCAGGCTGTCTCTGCCCTACTGAGCCCGCCAAAAGTCCCATTCTGCAAACGGTGCTTCACCAGCTGAGTAGTCCTCGACTTACGACCGGTTGAGTAGTCCTCGACTTACGGCCGGTTGGGGGTTGCGGCATTAAAAAGGTTGAGAACCACTGGATTAGAAAATCTCCAAGGTTCCTTCTGTTATTCTGTCCCATGCCAGAATTTCATCCATACAAAGGAAGTTTTAGGCTCCTGTTGCTTCCTTCCTCTTGATGCCTTCCGGTCTAATTGTGGGATTTAACGCTTGTCCCTTTCTTCTTACAGGACCTGTACCTGCCTCTATCCTTGGATGACTCTGATTCTCTTGGAGACTCTATGTAAAGGATACCCAGTTCCCCGTCTCCGTAGTACACGCTCTGTTTTAAACGCAGAGCAGTACTCTAGCCCAAACGGAGCAGAGAGGTCACTGGTGCTCGCAATCAATCCAAGGACACAAAACTTATGGTTTTTGCTTTCTTTGCTTTGCTGTCTTGTTTCCCCTCCTATGAGTTCTCCTCTGTGTTACAAAACCAACACTAGCAACGGACCAGAGGTAAAGGGATACCAACCATTTGCAGAACTTCACCCTCCAAGTCAAACGGTTATTCCTGGTGCTCTTTGAAGCCAGAGACAAAATAGAACATCACGATCTTACGACTTTCTGTTCTCTCTCTTTGTACTGGGCACAATGACACCAGGATTGGCTGCCAGTGTAGGAAAAAAGATGATCATGTCTTTTCAAAAGATTCCGTGTCAAAATAGTCCATCAGCAGATGTGGCAACACTGCCCCTCAGCTTCCACTTTTACCACCAGACATTCATTTTTTCAGACATTCATTGTTACCAGCAACTCTACCAAAGTAGCTTTGTTCCCCTAATCCTGCCATGTTAAATTTAATACTTTCCTATTAAGTATACTTGATTTATGCTCACAGCCACCAAGGGCTAAATCCACCATGGTAATCAGGTCAATATATCACAGCGTGCCCCAAAAATAAATGAGCAGAAAGTTATTTATAGTAGTTTTCCTGCAGGACCCTTAAGGTCAGAATCTTTTCACTGCAGTGGTTGGTTTTTTTTTTTAAAGACATGGCAATAAAAAGAAAGATTTGGTTGATATGAAGTTACTGGAAGTGTTGTGTGGTATCTCTTGACCTCTGAAAGATTCTTCCTGCCTTGCAAACAGCCAACACTTGAAAACACTGTGAAGGTTTTGTTTTCAGGTTTCTTAACACTTCTCTGTTCCTACAACTACTGCGATCGCTGTTGTTAATCAGTACAATTTTATAGAGGGGGAAAAAACGACCTTAGCTAGGTTTTAGAGAAGCAATTCTTCAAGCTTCTTCTTTCTTTCTTTCTTTCTTTCTTCTTCTTCTTTTTTTTTTAAAAAAAGTAAAAACTGGTGACTTGATTTTGCTTAAAAAAAAGAAAAAAGAAAACAAAAGTATAGAAAAATGTTCTGTGCAGTGAAACGTTTTAGAAGTTGTGCCCAAATATGCCATCTGAAATAGGAAAAGAAAAAACAAAGCAAAACAAAACAGGGCTGGCATTCTGAGCGGGTGCATTGGGTGGGGTGAGGGTTCTTACCATTTGGTGAGTATTTTGAGAAGGTTTGTAACATTGGTTGCCTCAAAAAGAGTCCAGATGTCTGCTCACGCCGTGTGATTGGAGCCCTGACTTGGATTTTTTTTTAATGTGTATTGCCGGGCGCGGGGCTCTGCAAAGCAGGTTGTGTTTCAACTTAGAGGCACCATGTTGATTTTTTTGCCTCCAGCCCCACCCCACCCCACCCACCCCCGTGCAACATGCTGGATTTACCTTGCCATTTTTGGAATGTTCGAGAATCCGAATGAAGGCCAGCAGACTACCTTTGCGTCCTTTTTTTTTTCTAGGAAAACAACCCATTTGAACAGAATGCAAAGCATAAGCAAGCTTTTCCCCTTTTCCAATAATTGTAAATGCAATGATTGATACAGGGCTGACCATTTCCCCTAAGCCTTTTTATCAGTGCTGGATAGTGTACACTGCCTTGTTCCTGATTCATCCAAATAAGTGCTTCGGTTTTTATTTTTCATTCTCAGATCTTTCCCTGTGAGGTGCTCTGCTTTTTTTGGGGGGGGGGAGGAGCAACCCCTTTCTGAATTTAGAAGGTGTATGATAAGAATTCTTTCTTTCGCTTCGATTGGAAAAGCTGCTTTGGGCCACTTGTGTGATATGGAAAGGTGAGCTTGAAGAGGCATGATTTTCAATGCTTTCACTTGGTGACGTAGCTCACTCCTTTGCTCACCTAGTGTGTGTGTGTGGGGGAAAACTTTTCCCATTTCTTAAAATGGCTTCCTCTTACCCATTGGTTAAGAGTGTTGCACCGCTAGCAAGCATTGAGACTTCTGGGGTGACGATGTGGGTGAGCCGAGTATTAGGATGTTATTGTTGAAGAGGAGGTGTCAGATGATGGAGTGGCCTGTAGTTAAGAATCCTCCACCACAAAGACAAGTGAGACTGAGCCCATTGCTAGCCAAAGCAGTGTCTAGAATTTCCTCTTCCCCAATGTTGTCGTTTGGTCTGATGCATCCATTCAACCCTGGTTCAGGAGAACCACTTTTCTCATTGGATCACAGTCAGATCGCCATGGGGAAGGCCGACTTTGAGGACAAAGCACAGAAAAAGATCTACAAGAGAATTTCCCATGGTGTGTTTGACCCCTAGCAGATCTAGTGTATAAATTGGAGCAGGTCTCTTAATTTCTTGGTGCCTCAATTTACCTTATCTGTCAAAATAGGGACAGGAATACTTCTCTACCTCATGGGACAGGGGGTTGGGTTGGCAAGTGAGTCATTTGGTTAATGCCGTAAAAGACATATTTGGTGGAAAAGTACTTATGGCTTTGGAAGGGGCTGGATTTGTTGAGTCCAGGGAAGGTTTCCTGGGAGGGGGGGTCTGAAAGATCTTCTTTCTACGGACAGCCAAGCAGCCCTGACACCACAACTAATCAATGCACACACTGTGAGCTTTGTCTGTTGTCAACACCAGAAACAGGAACTGATCTCTCCCTCCCAGATCTGGCAATGGTGGCTATGTCCCTCCTGAGATTCTGAATCATGGTTACAAAGGTGACCTCCGTTGTGAATTGCTTACAGGAACACTTGTCAACTTTGAGATAAGCTTTGTTTGCCACACACTCACTTTGCTCCAGTTTTGATCTTCTGTTCTCTCTCTCTCTTCTCTCCCGCTTGAAGGGCTGTTCTCACTTTGCCAGTTGAGTGTGATCAGAGGAGCTGTACTTCTGGAAAGTGAAACTGTGCGATCCTTTTCTGCTCAAGGTGATGATGCTTCACGACAGCATTGCCTTTTCCTAATGTCAAGGGTCTACACTTCTTGATGCCTTCATCTTTCCTGGTTTAATAGAGAAGAAGCAATGATCTCCATCAAAACTGAGCCATGGAGAACAGACCCTTTCCCTCCCTCTTTCTCTCTCTTACGCACATACACCCATGCAAAACACATCTATAGATGCTTGATCTATTTGATTGCTGTTCTTGGGCAATGCCCTACTAATCCTTGGTGGTACTGTAGAGTCTCTTGAATGTTAACCTTTCTCTTTCTTGATTGCACAGAGAGGACAAACGTAGACTGTTTCTATCTGCCAATGGAAACTCTGAAGTAGCATTGTCCTTTGTATAAAATGCTGGGAACATGTATTAAGGGAGAAGTTACCATACGTATCTTCAGCTTGTAAGCCCTTGAGAAGCTCATAGATAGAATGATAAATTAGATCCATTTTCCCCAGCTTCAGACTTCCAATTCTCTGAAATCCCAAAGAGAATTGAATTTCCTTTAGACATACAATCTGGACATTTTGGCAGCTGGAAACTGGATAGAATTTTGGTCCATTCCAGTAGTGATTCTTGATCATGGTTTACATGCTATAGCTTCCCCACCGAACGTCTTTGCAAAAATGCAGATTTGGGCTTTCATTTTTATTGCACTTAATCATGGCAGGTTTGAAAGACTGATCTAACGCGAATGTCGTTGCTTAAGCTGTGCCATGCGGTGCATTATTTCTGAATCCAGAAACGGTGAGATTCGGCTTTTGTAAGTGTTCACCTTGTCAGCGTTAAAGAAAACCGGAGGCCTAGTCAGTGGGAAAGTGAAGGTTCTTCTTTCTAGAAAAGGAATGGGTGGGGCGGGGGGAGCCATTCAAAACTTGCAAAAGTGAAACAGGGTAAAGAACAAGACTCCCAGGTTTTAGAAGAATCTTTCAGGTAAGTGTTTTTGAACTGTAGGTAGGAATCAGTGACTATGTCAGATGTAAAACTGCCTATGTAGTGGATGTTGCATGATTCTTTGTACAAAATGAATAAATTAAAATGCATGCCGAATAGCCATATGTACCATGCTAGGTGTGTTCAGCTCCAAACTCATCAAAAAAAATATATATTAGAGCTACAGTGCTCTTACAGCTCATTCATCGGTGCAAACAGTCACCCCCTATTTCATACAAACTGATTGTCTTATGACAGACAGCAGCAGTGAAGGAATATAACAGCAGCTTTCAATACACTAGCTGCAAACTTGAGCAAACGTTGGGTGGCCAACATTGGGTTGTTACTCAAGGAGGAGAGGGCTGAGGGCCACACAGTAGATGGACCACTGTATCACACATGTGACCAAGGGAGGCAGTGATGGCAATTATTTAATTTTAGTTTGGCTCTTCTATGCCTATTGTAGGATTTCCACTAGTGTTTATGTGCGTCCCATTTCAAAATAGCAGCTTCCTGTATTCACAGAGGAAATTCAAGGACCTCAGAAAGGTGATGGGGTAACTTGTGGCTTGAGGCTACAACCCCATCCTGTCAGGCACAATCAACCAGACCCACATGTATAGAGTTCAAACTAGCTACTTTATTGTTCTATTATCTATTTCATAGGAATCTTCACAGGCTAGCAGCTGGCCCCTAGGAAACACTAGATAAGGTTCAATGGCAATCAAGATAGGTGTGTGTGTGGGCGGGTTGGACCTATCCCTCTTGTGTCTACATAATGATTCCAGGTAAATTCCCTGCTTGACCCCCCTCCTTCTGACTGGGACAGTCTTTCTTCAATACATGATACATCCCTGTTCTAGCTCTAGGAAACTATGTTTGGTTTCTTTTTTAGAAACTCTTGCACTTCAGCAGATGCAAGATCAGGGTGTAGAAAGAAGATTTAGAAGACAGCAATAGCCATATTGCACCTCTGGGTCCCATATAGTCCTTTCGCCCTTCACAGGTGCCTGCAACTTTGCTCTTATCTATTCCCTCTTGATTTAACAATCCATGACTACTGTTAATGTCTTTAAGGTCCCCATTGGTGCCCAGTCCAGAACTGTAAGTCTTTACACTGCAGAGGACCATTGTTGGGGGAGGGGGGAGAGAGAGAGAGAGCCCTGAATTACAGTCTCATATTTTTTGTTTTGCACAAGCAGCTGCCTATAGTCAATATATATGTAAAAATATCACCTTTGTCGATCACGAATTATGATCGTTTCATCTTAGAAGCTCATGAATTATGAAGGACATGCTGTCCTCCCAGCCTTGTGAAGCAAAGGCGAGGCAACTGTCTTGAGGACAGATCATGGGATGACTTGAAAGGGCAGATCTGTAGCAAATGTTGGGGAAAGTTGCTGGCAGATGTTTGGACTTCAGCTTGAAGTTCAGACATCTTAAAGTTGCCAAGGTTGGGTGGACTGAAAAAAGCTTCAGTTCTGGAATACTTTCATGTGGGCCCTTAAAATATGCTAAAAAGATTCAAAGCTGTCTGCCTCTAGAAAAGTAACCAGGTTTCTTTGAGGATATTACCTCTTTAATGGAAGCATAGGACACAAGAGTTCCATTTCTTCTTTTTGGCTACTAACTTGAATATTTTCCAATGGAAAATGGTCATCCCTATATAATAAGACATAGCAGCTAATAGCATCTGGCAAATTGCCCTTTTGATCAAAGTTACTTAATTTTCTTCCCAAACATCCAGGTTTCCATATTGTTTAGATATAGAAGCTCTGGGATCAAATCTTAATAGCTAATAGGGAGAATACAAAGATGCATACTAACCCAGCAAATTTGGAAAGCTCCTGTAACTTCTGCTCCCATCATCCCCTTCCTGTATGAGGCATCCCATCTTTAATATCATCAGCCATTCCTTCCTGAAACAGATTTCATCAAAAATAAGAACTTGTATTCATCCGTCATCAGTTATCAATTCATGATGCAAATTATGAGAGCTAAAAGACTCCATATTCATAATACATTAAACTGGAAATGTATTAGGCACACAAATTGTAGCCTCTTGTAGCACAAGAGGAGGATTAGCATCCCCAAATATCACTTGTAGTAGGTGCATGATCGATAGATAGTACATTGAAATGTCTGCTGGGATGGTAACATGAGTACAACATCCTCAATTGCATGTAATGGCAGAAGTAGAAGAAGCTAGAAAAGTTTTGGCTGCAAACTACAGGTGTTATCTCCTGCGTCTGGAGGTTTAAAGGTCTAATTTTGTCTTTGCACATCACATTGAGGCAGCTTCTTTCTTGCCTTCATAATATGTTTTTAATCAGTCCCGCCTTTGATTCTGAGTCCCTTAGAGCAGGGGTGTCAAACTCAATTTCATTGAAAGCTGCATCAGCATTGCGGTGGCCCTCAGGGGGCCAGGTGGGTGTGGCCTACTGGGTGGGTGTGGCCTACTGGGTGGGTGTGGATAGCGTGGGTGTGGCCTACTGGGTGGGTGTGGCCAGTGGGATAGATCTGAGGGTCTCTGGCAGAAGGGGATGGGACCAGGGCAAGTGCCAAGGCATGGTCCACTGGAGGAGCCTCATTGTTCTTCTCAGGCCATGCAGGAGAGGGGGGCTTATGGAGCTAAGACTGAATGCATTTCAGCATAGATGGCCACCACAAAATTGTACATTGGCTCCCGGCTGGCCTGGGCCAGGGCCAAGGCAGTGGGGGGCTGTTCCTTCACTGTTTCCAGGATGGCTTCGCGGGCCACATGAAACCACTTCGCGGGCCGCATCCAGCCCCCGGGCCTTGTGTTTGACATGTCTGCCTTAGAGAGAACTCAAATGCCATGTTTCTTATCTATGGAGATTCTCAGTCATTCAGGTCATGGTTGTCCCAAAGGTGCTTTTTTCATGGTTTTTCCTTGAAGACGTTTCACTTCTCATCCAGGAAGCTTCTTCCATTCTGACTGAAGGGTGGAGAATGGAAGGATTCCAGAGATGACTGCAAGGAATAGAAATCCTTCCATTCACCATCGTTCCGTCGGAACCGAAGAAGCTTCTTGGATGAGAAGTGAAAATGTCTTCAAAGAAAAAGAAAGAAAGTCCAGTTGCCTTTTGACGAAGCACATTTGGGGCAACCATGCTTCTCATTCGACCTTGATGTGGTGCTTACTGTGGCATGCTGCCTGGGAAATTCTGAAAGTTGAAATCCACACATTTTAAAGTTGCCAAGGTTGAGAAAACAGTGCTCTAGGCCTTGTCAACAAGGCAATCTTAATCAAGAACCCAATATAGTCAATTTCATAAACTCTTGGTCATTTTCGCAACTGTTATAAGGGGCTTTTCACGAATCCCAGCATTTAAATAGGACCCAGAAATTGATAGGAAGGCAGTGAACACTTGAAAAGCAGACGTAGCCCCTGTTCCCCAACTGAAGCTTCTAGATAGTTTTTCCAGGTAGCTAGCCCCATGTAGAATCTATTGCACATAATCTAATGCTATGGACCTTCCTTTGCTAATCCAGAAGGAGAAGTCTAAAGGTCCCCAAGTTCTGGATCTGGTCCCTCAGGAGCTGAGACAAGACAAGAAGTGATAGAGCAGTGTTCAAGCAGCATTCTCTGTCTTGCTAGAGTTCGAGATAAGGCTGATCTCTTATTTCCAGATCTTCACAGCCCTTAGATATCAGGTCAACCCTTCAACAGTATCTTCAATAGAGCCCAAGGTCACGATGTACCATTGAGTATCATCACCATATTGATGATTCCAGAACTCAAACTGCCAAACGACCTCCCTAATATTTTCTCTAGGTGTTAATAATGGGAGGAGATAACTCAACTTTATATACTCCCACAGGGGAGGAGCCACTAAACCGATCTCTTCCTTCTGGGATTGGCTGTTGAGGAAGGAGTGAAGTCAATATGAAACAGCGTCTTCAATCCCCAGTCTCTGCAGCTTGAACAGAAGGATGCCATGGTCAATGCTATTGAAGGTCACTGAGAAATGCAATGCCTTCATCCAGGTCCTGACCAATGCCATCCCTGTCCTAAA